TTTAATTATGATATTTAAAAATGACTATTAAACGCTCTTTTTCAAATGAATTTTTGCTTTTGTGGGAAATTGTAATTGTTATGATTAATTGGTAACAGGGCATCGTGTCGTCCAATTCAGTCTGTAATCACACTCGTGATTAACAAATCCGATTCCCGCTTCGCGGTCGTCCGATTTTGTTAATCACTCGTGTGATTACAGACCAAATTGGACTCCACTCAGTTCCATTACCATTATTAATCGTATCTATAACAAAATTCTCGATCATGATTGCTTCTCCGCGCGCCTATTTGTCACGTAAATCGGAGCGCGATCACATGGGTGTCCAATTACAGGTGTCCAATTTGAACTTTTTTGGTAATTGGATACCTGTAATTGGATACCCACGTGATTCACACGTCAATAACGCGCGATTTAATGGCTTCCTTCGCAATGTTTCGTTCAGTTTTCAAAACTTAAGAAAAGGCATTTTCGCTCAAAAGAAGTTCTCAAAAGACATTTTTAATTCCGAAATTTGTTATAGATACGATTAATTAGTAATTGGACCTCGTGTTGTACAATTCAGGGAGTAATAGCGCGAGTAATTTCAAATAGGCCTCGCGCTTTGCGCCAATCCGATTTTGAAATAACTCCCGCGATTACTACCTGAATTGTGCGACACAAGGTCCAATAACTATTACTAATTCAAATACAGGTGGATCCCGCCAATTAAAACGCGGTTATTTCAAATTCCCCGTACGTTGTTTCTAACTCAAAACCATTTCCCATGGACTCGCTCTTTAGTCCTTTCCTATCGATTATTTCGAATTCTCACTATTTCGAACTATTTTCCGTTTCCCCTTAGAATTCGAAATAGCGAGACTCAACTGTATTTGATCACGAGAGATTTGGAAAAACATTTCAGGATAAAAAGTAGCCGCCGGCATGTCACCATTATCAGATGTAAATTATTGTAAGTTCAGTATTGTAGTTTCACACTTTCCTTTCTTTATATAATAGTCGCCAAAAATTATGTGACCGAGCACTAACGTGACCTAATTAATAAAGCCTAATCTAGCGTGACAATATCTTTGCATGACAAGCCGTGGAATACGTCCACGGACGGCTATCACGACATGTGAACCTTAAATAACCGGTAAAATTTTCATAGCATTACAAAACATACGGTTTCCACATTGTAAGTATATAAATTACATCATTCCTTTTTCTGACTTAAAATACAACCAGTTTGTACAAATCCAGGCGAGAAACTAACAATCATGGTCAAAAGTCTTGGGACAAAGTTCACACTTTTGGCGCTTTTGCACACACGCCAGACAAACAGTCGCGCGAATACAACTTCATCTACCTAGCCTCTCCCACCGCCCCACATACAATGTTGGAAACTAGCACCTGCAATAGGTCATATCTGAGTTGCCTTTTGCCACTGTGCCAAGTCAAAACGAGTCTTCGCGCTAAACCATTCGTATGAAACTGTGTTCCACCTACAGGTTCATTTTCATGCAAATCAAACTCATAAATTTTCATATGAAAGGTTTTGCATGAGCATTCGTTTTTGAAACAGAGGCTCAAGATAACTCGGAAATGCCTATCTCCTGATTTTCATCATTGTATTGGGTGGGGAGTGGGGAACAGCAACGCATTTTTAAAAGGATAGCAGTGCTTCAGTTGTAAAACACGGATAATCCGTTGCATTACATCAGTGTCCTAAGATTTCTGTCCGCGATTGTAGTCGATAATTCCTAAAATTAAGTTAGTACGTTAAGATTTCCTAATCGGCAATAAATGAGCCTCTGTATTGAATACAAACTTATCAAGAGGAACAATATCCACATCGCTCAGTAATAAGAATAAATATTTGAGAGTTTCTCCGAGAAAGAAGCTCTCCATTTTATCTCTAAATCCTTGCCTTGGGTCTTTGACGCTATTTAGAGATGAGTAGCCTCCGGTAGAGATTTTGGCGTGTTTCTCAATGGCCTGGAATATGTCCCAGCCATATTCCTGGTATTTCTTGTCTCCCGTGAGGCGGTAGAGAATAAATAAAGATTCCAGGGTCTCTGGTCGCAGCAGACAGTGAGCATCTAAAGGCTAAAGAGATTAAATAAAGAAAAACCCTTAAGCCTAAGTGACTCACAGTTCCCGGCGCTTAATTCCGGTTTCTGTAGCATAAAGTAGCTAGGAGTATTTCTACTCCTCCCTGGATGGAGTGAAAGTCCATCACAGCTTACTCACAGAATTCTGTCAGGTCCCCACAACAATTTGCTGTTACACTGTACATAATGTATTAAATAGATACAATGTACACCTGGGTGGGGGGGNAGGCACTGTGGGAGTAAAGTGTCTTAACCAGGAACACAACACAACGTTCTCGAGCAGAACTAAAACCACTTGATCCACATTTCAGCGCACAGAGCATTAGCCCATCGTGTCTCCCACAACCTTTCTGGCCCAATCTTCCACTAGGGGCAAGGAACTGAAGTCTCCCACAAAAAGATTGAAGAGATTGAGAGAGATGTAATTCAATAACTTAACAAAAGTAGAACTTAGGATCTCATCTGGGCACTTTTTGGTTGAATGGAAAGTGTCCTAGTTTACCTTGGGTGTAAAAAGACAACAAAATTGTGCGTCTAAATGCAGGGTAGGGCAACCGATTAATTCAATATGCCCGACCAAAATTTAAAGTACATGGTTAAAATACTTACCCTAACAGTAATGTCTTGCTGTCCTTGTGCGGACGGCCCTTGGTTGAAGTAAACCAGCTCAGCACTCAACCCAGTCGGCATTCGTTTGTACATCTGCATGCAGGTCTCTAACAGATCCTTAGCAAACTGTTCATATTTTTTGTCAAGGCCATTGTGGACAGCTAACATTAAAGTACCAGGAAGAAAACACACAAGGTGATCCTGCAAGGAGTTCAAATCACATGAAAAATCAGACCATTAGTTTTGTAAACAAAATATTAGACTGTGCTGGAGAACAGACACCAACACCCTTTGCAAAAGAAAGTCACATTACAGGGTACATGTAGCTGGACATAAGGAGCAACTGGGTGACAGTGTACTATAACACTTTTTAAGGGCTTGAAGGATTGACATGTCAGGAACTTAACTCCAGTTTTCCAACATAAAGAGCAGTGTTTCTGTCAAGTCACGCTGAAAATATGCCACAAGGGGCTGATTTAAGTGTCAAGGAACAAAACATGATCCCAGCCAGCACTGACACACGCCAGCCCTATAAACCTGGAGTCCTGCAACACAATACACCATAGTCTAACTACTTGGCCACCACAAACACTGCTTAGCATCTACATGTCCATGTATTTGTGCAATAAGACTACCAATAGTTAATGCATGTACCATTTTAGGGCTAAATGTTTGACCATGAAGAAGTTCACCAATGTAAACCAGATTGCTTGGTTGGGATTCGCGCTTTAAAAGTAACATCACTCCACCCATGGACTCTGTAAAATCATTTCTAAGCCTGAAAATGAGAAATTACACTGTTTCAGTTTGACCTGATTCTGAATGTTATGAAGTCACACCATATTTCTTAGTCATGAATATTTTGTGCCCAAAATACATGTAACTTGACCTCACAAACTTTGGACAATTCTACTTCACAACTTCACAACTTCACAGCCTTACCAGTCTTCTGTCTTTCCACTCTGTAACCACTGTTTTAACAAGTACTCATAGTAACTGTCACCACGAGCACCCAGAGTGATTGTTGCCGCTGGGCGGAACTTGCCAGTATCAGCATTTACAAAAATTGGCACTAGGCCTACTCGTTTGGGAAGGGCATGGATATGGTTTGACACTGTATCTACAGCTGCCTGAAAAAAAAAGTGACCAAACATTCTCCATCAGACAATAATACAAGTACATCAATCAAGGAGGGGGGCGGGAATGACTTTTAGATGTAGCCAATGTACATTGCACTGCACACGTACATTTTTAGCCATAAAGATCATTTGAAAGAAGGAAAACAGTACATTTAACATGTACACTGCATGTTGTACTTAACTTGATCATAAATACATCATAAAAAGTTCACTGAGAAAAGGAAAAATTGAATAAAAGATAAACAGGTTTGAAAAATTTAATGAAATGCAAAGATGTCACTAACAGGTGCACAGTTTTCACAGTTTCAATCTACAAACATTTTTAAATTTACAGTAATCTATTCAAAACATTGGTGGTGTACATGAAAAAGTTTAAATAGTTACCTTGTATTTGGTATTGCCCGTTGTGTAACTAAGATCTCTGAATTCTAGCTGTATGGTGGTCACCTCTGACACAGAACTATCAGGACCCCAGCGGGGAGGGTGTGCGGCATGAGTCAGTAGATTAACATCTGAATAAGGAATATTGGATCTTGACTCAAAAGCTGGCAAGAGACGATCTCCAAGATCAATCTGCAAAAATGTATCGACCTTAACTTGTATCAACTGAGAAATGTTTTATCTAAGACATTTTAACATTAGACACTACACTTTTAATTGTTTTCTTATGTAGTACTGTTCAATATACTCAGTGCAGTTTCAACTGAGGAGCGAGACGTGAGCTAGAAAATTCGTTTTACATGATTCATGTACACTATTTTATAACTTGTTTCATGTGTGGTATCAGCAGCTCTTCTCTTGACCATGAAGTACCTACAGTGTATAATGGCTCATTGAGCTATAAACACATGTAATATGCACATCATGTACTGTACATACTTTCAAGTTAACATAAAATTTTAGCTTTTTCAGCAGTTCTCTCAATCCCCATCAAAGAAGGTTAATTCCTCTTGTAAATACAACTCTGAGATTTCTTGTTAATAAAAACTTAAAATAAAAGTCTTACGTTTTGTTACAAGTGAATAATGGACAACTGAATGTTGAAATGACACAGTCGTTTACTTTTCAATTCAAATACAAACACATTAAATGTCAAATTATGATAATTACTATGATATTATGAGAATTTATCAAGGATTTAGATAACTGCATCTAAAACATCCTTGTTAGAAACATTCAGATTACAAATTCTGATTGGGGGAACTACACTGTACATGGAGATAAGAACATATATGTAGTTACTGTGCCTACTGTAGAGCCTAAAATTGGTATCATTACCAGTCCAGACCTACATGTAACTATTAAAAAAAACCCTTTTGTCAAATATATACTTACTGCCTTCTTCAGAAACAAGTCATCCTGTGACAAGTGATAAGCACTCAAAAGTCCTCCAAGTACACGAATGGTTGTCTCAAATAAATTCACGTCAACATTCTTCTCAAACGTCAAGCTGTTGGCAACCCAGTCACGTGCCTGTTGAAATTCCTCATGTAGATTCATAAGCAGCATGGTATCTAAGGAATCGATGATTGTAAGCCCTAAGCCAAACCATTCACTGCTTGACTTAGAAATCGGGCGCAGTTCATCATGACCCCATGCATATTTTCTATAGCCTTCCCAGGCATGTTTAAAAGCTTCTACAACTTTCTTTTGCCGCTCATTATGTTTCTCTGGTGGAAGGATGTTGACTCCGTTTATGTTTAAAGCAACGTTCTCGTGACTTTCCATAAGATTTGCTTCACCATCACCAGCAGTGTCTGCACCATTTTCATCAGGTTTGTCCTCATGGTGAACTACAGTATCTCCATGTATCTTGTTTTTGTTATCATTTTTACCATCATCATTGCGATTAGTGGCAAGCACTCCAGCATCATTTCTATTCTTTAGCTTTGGAGGTCCCTTCTTTAATGCCATGGCACGTTGCTTTTTGAGCTCTTCCAGATCTCTTAAACTGTTGTCAATCATTTCCTGCTTATTGACTCTGTTAAATTTAGGAGAATGTTTATCGGAAATCTTGTGACCTTTATGGTCTCCAGCTTCTTCCAAGCCCTCTGCATCGTAACTCAGTGACATTAGTCCCTTATGCCAAATCAAAAAAGTTACACAAGCAAGAACAAAAAGCAAGATAATCAGTGACCTTTGAAATGAAGACATGGCTCGCCATTTCTGCAATAGAAAAAGAAAGAAAGACTCATTCTACTTCAGTGATGGTAAATAATTGTTATTACATGTACCTGGCTAACTGGTCTGTGATAATTAGAAAGGAGAATTCTGCTGTTTCCCTAAGTGGTCTAAATTTTGCAATATGGACTGCTAAGATGGACCACCCACAAATTTATTTTGCCAAATTGTTTTTTCAATTCATAATTTGTGCAGTACCAGAAAATATCCATACTACCCCAACAGAAGGGATTTGAATTTCCTGGGGCGTGGGAGGTTCTCTAAGACCAAACAATTTAAAGAAATGTATCAAGTTCAATTGGAATTTCCAGAGGGGAGCAGGGGGCTCTTCGAAAAAATCCCTTCCGTGGGGGAAGAATGGATATTTTCTGGAACTACGAATTGCAAAAAATAAACAGTTTTTATGCTCAGTAGAAATCTGTTTGCATTCATGTTTGGAGGACACTGAATTTCAATTAAATGTTCACAAAACCTAAGTGAGAAACGTGAGTAAATCCTAATGTTTCACATGTGCCAATACTTTTTTATGTACATGTAGAAAGCATGCGATTATGAATGATGATAATCCATAATTTTAAAATGAGACACAAATAATCCAAAATATCTAAATTTAGTGGCCAATAATCTGTATCCCTTCTCTAAAATCCCGTAATAATCCATAATCCTAAAAACCTGAGAAAGATCACATCACAGAGATGAATCAATTTATTAACAGATTAAAAAGAGTCATTAATTACTTTATTGAACTAGATTGTTTAGTCTGTATTAATTGGCAAAAAAAATTGGTCTCATTCATTTTTTAGCAACTTTACAGGCCTCTGACTGTAAACCTACAACAAAAAGAACTTGACCAATATTCCTCCAAATAAATACGGACACGTGTCACACTCGTTTAATAACATAAATATTTTTGGTAACAAATTTATATGCTCCCATACACGGTGAACAAGTTCACTGAGGCAATCTACCATATGAGCTGCAAATGGTAAATAACAAACGATATATTTGAAATAGAATTTTTTTTTTTCAAACGAAGTGCAAGATACATGAATGACCGCGAAAAAAATCATCTAAATAATTATGCTGCCACTGCAGAATAATATTTTGAAATTTCAGACGATAATATAATTGACTCTTGCATATATTTTTTAAATCGCAGAAAGGCTGAATTTGAAGGAGTAAAACACGTACGTTATGAATTATGTCACATTAAAACACAGTGAATGTTAATTAATTTTGAACCACCATACGTTAAGAAGTCACATCGAAATCATTCTTCCCTGCTTCGAAGCGATGTGATGTTCTACAGAGCAGCTACATGTACGTTCTTATAAGCTAATTTCTTTAATAGTTTATCGATGTTTGTTTAAGAACATGGAACACAATTATGATAACAATGGACAATACAGGCACCAGATAGAGAAAACTGGTTAAAATGCTCGCATTGCTGACCAAAACCTAACGCGCTTACCCGATAAAGCGAAGTGTGCCGGCGTACTTTGCTGTTATCATCGCCACCTTCACTTCTCCATGGCATGGAAACCGAGATGAATTCCCTCGATCCTTCCCGCTGAGTGGAATTCATATCTTATACGAACTTCGAGGAGGAATTTTCAACAAAAACAGGTTATCTGTCAAAGGGAAATTATAAATGCTTGATCCTTTTCATTGTCAACAACGCCGATTGTCCGCCATCTTTAACATAATTGTTAGTACCCAGGCACTTGGCAACCAGCTGTACAGCTACGTCAAGCTACGTCATATTTCATGAGACACTGGGGCGGATGAGTCCCAGGTCCCAATCAGCCAAACGAAACGACAATGGAGGAACGTTGCTGCCTTGAAAACACTAAAAAGACGATATCAATTATAAGATTCTAACGTCATCATACCACTGAAATATATATGGTGTAAAACTGTTGGAGCGATCTGTGCCCATGATTAAGAGGCCCTGCGCCTAAGAAACGACCGATGATTTCCGGCTAAAAAATAAAANATAAAAATCGGCCGATTTTATTTTTTAGCCGGAAATCATCGGTCGTTTCTTAGGTGCAGGGCCTCTTAAAGTTCTAAAAAAGGAGTTGAAACATCTAAAAAACGTTTAAACTGAATTTTAGATCGTTCTCTGCGGTCTTCCTCAGAAGCGCTGGGCTGTGTCAATGGCAATCTAAATACTTGCTCGTATGTGTAGCCTTGCGATATATAAAACCTTGATGGAGTGCGCTAAATGCATTTCATCAACAACTGCGCAAAGACAGAGCGAGGAGCGACGTGTTATCAACGACCTAAAAGCTAATGGCTATCCTGGAAAGTTTATTAAATCGGTCGATCAACCAAATAACACAAAACCAAAGCCTCTGGAGAACCCAAAAGCATATGCGTCAATTCCATATGTTAAAGGGGTGTCGGAGCGAATAAGATGGATTTTGAAACGCGAAAACATCAAGACAGCTTTTAAACCACTAAAAACACTGGGTAATTTTTTAGGTAATTTTTTTTTTTGACTGGCCGACAAAAGAACAGTTGAACAAAACAAGTTGGAAGTCTCGCGGGGCTGAATGCAAGACTGGAACGAGTGGGAATGTCGGCTCCGCGGTAAACAGCATGCCAAAATCCCTGGTCGCGACTTACACCCAAATTATGCGAGCATTTTGCAAGCAGCGTAAAAACAAGGACAAAATGCTTTTTCTAGAGTCATTGCACTCATTCCTGGACAGGAACTTTGTTAGTCTTCTCACCAACCAGACACCTGTGAAAAATTTTACAACTTGGTGCTGCACGCTTTGATTCATCAATTAAAAGTGACCATCTTGAATTTCAGAGTTGCCAAGAAACGCACAATACAGACGACTATTTCTGGTTACCAGGAGGAAGATTGAACAACAACTCGTAATTTCGTGCAGCAGATGGCTGTCTCCAAATCATTAACTGTTTTGTAACAACACTAAAGGACTCGAACTTGAGTCGAGTTCGAACTTGCTTCATAAAAAGCAACATTTTGTCATTGGTAAATCTCGCAGAGGAGAGGGAAGTGGTATGTTCAGTCTAAACTACACAGACTGAGGGTCATAAATTAGACTGCTGGAGGCCGTGTTCTCTAAGGGTCACTTAGACCAGTGTTTATTTATCGCGAACGCAAAAGGGCGGTATAATCCCTGCTGAATTTCGAGAGAAAAACAGACTGGGAGCAGTCTACTAAGTCCGAGAGGTTTACAATTCTATGATAAGGTGCGAGGCGGTTCTTCTTTCTTGATGGTACTTTGTATTTACGGAACATTAAAAAGAAAGTTTTTCATTAAATTAACTTACGCCGAGCGATGTCGTCAACAGGAATAAAAGAACGGAATGCAGATTTTATTTGTGGGTATGGATAACATCAATAATGCAATGGTCAGCAAGGCTCATCCTTAACAAAGCAAATTAATTGTGGGTTGTAGACAGAATGGCTATCATGTATGTAGCAGGAGGTGTAAGCCTGTGGACCTGTGGACCTGTAGACCTATGGGTCGTGAACAGAATATGTATCATGTATGTAACACTCGTTTGAAATTTTTAATTTTTCCTTCATCATAAAACAATCCATGTCAATGGAAAGACCACCTCAAAGTGTGATGTGGCAACGTTTTAACACGAAATCGTGCGTAGAATTAAAAGAAGCGACTTGATTCAGTAAAAAACACTCACATCTATCCTCGCTTTTTGGGTAATCATGACGTCACGACAAACCTCACTCAAACTAAATCTTTCAGTTTGGCTGAAGTAACACACTTGAAAAATTGAACAAAACAATCAATGTAAATCCCAAATTTAACGGCTAATTTTGTCATTTCCCTACACATTTTACCGCCACTTTTCAACCAGCTCGTCATTAAATTTCAACACAAGAAGCTCAAAAACCCAGCTCTTAAATTTTATTTCCACTTTCGTCGAAAATAGGCGATAAAAAAGACTTTGGGTTTTTCTCGAGGCCCAGTCTTATCCAGATCGTTTTAAGTTTTTTCCAAATCTTGAAATACCTCGTTATATTATTCATATAGTGGTGTAAGTTATTACTACATATTGTGCCATAACGACTAGCCCTATAAGGGAGGGTTATAACTTCGACAGTTGTTATGAAAATTTCTGATGAATTGAAAACAGAAAAAACAGAAACAAACAAAAAACCGTTTATCGACCATTTATTTCAAGATATATGTTAACAATTTGCTAACTAAAAACTAAAATTGAAATTAAGGTAGTGCAAATATACGAAGCTTGGTCAAGTTTTGATGTGCGTGATATTTCAGTTCTTTGTGTAAAATGTCCTTCAGTTCTTTTAAATGGCGTGTTTTGGATGAATGTCGTATTCCTCTGCTTCATCTTCCTGATCAGTAAGAGCGTCAATAATGCTTTGTTTAGCATTTTCTGGAATCTCCTCCTGGCTAACATCTGCGGAGACTGGCATCTCGTTTTCGTCCATCTTACCCCTACGACGACGTCGACGCCGTCTTCGCCAAGCGTCACTGAAAAATAAAAGCAACAACTATAGATTACAGCAAATCTAAGATTTGGCCGGTTAAGAAGCGTTAAGAGCAGATCAGAAGCTTATCACCTTGATCTAGGTGATATGCTTCTGGAGCAGATTCAAAAGGTTTCGCATAAACAGCTCTATAGAAACTATCGTAGCAAAAATTAGCACAGGTTGCCAAACAAACAGACAGGGACAGTATATACACATCCAAAATTCGACACGAAAAGAAACTCTTTCAGAAATTATAAATAAAAAAAAAACCTTCAGTTTATTTCTAACCATTTGTTAGAAAATAAAATATTTTAAAATCGAATGTAAGATTAATTGAAACCCTTCAAATTACCCCTGAAAGAAAGAAAGCATACGATGTAAAGTCCTTCTTTATCCTTTCTAGTCTGAAATCACCACGACCCTTTTTTATCTTTTCTTTTTCCCTTTTTAATGGTAGCCCGGACTGCGCTTGACCTTCAACTGAGTCTTAATACGTTATTAAAATGGTTCATTAAGTAAGGACGCAGGCTGAACTACAAAAGGAGTAAGTCCTTGCGTTCCTGACCAATTACCTTTTAGGTCATTATTGTCAGTGCGTGCTATACAGCACATTCTACAAATCCTCATCTGGAGTTTAAGGAAGAAATTAATTCTTTTTAAAAAGAAACGTATAACCCAAGGTTTAGGAAGAAAACTGTGAGAATCTACAGTTTACGTGATGCTATGAAAATTACCTGTCATCGATCAACAGAGATGCAACAACAAACATCAAAAGAATTGCGATCCAAAACTTGTTCATCTTGATAAACTCTGTATAAAATAAAATAACAATTACATTTGATGTTTATCCGTCGACAGTTATTACCTTCAGTTCTAAGGTGAGAACGTTTTATTCATGGGACATAGGAATGTTTGAGCAGAATAAGCAAAAAACAGAAAGGACTTGATACTCAATTTTCGTCTTACCTTTTTGGCGTTTAGTGAACAGCAGAGAGTACTTCTTCGATCACTGAAGTAATTTCAACTGAGTTCAAGCTGGGCTGACGAGTTATTTATATTGCCTGAGTTTAGTGTTGTTATATAACGATTAATGATTTGGTGACAACCATCTGCTACTGGTAAATTATGAGTCTTTGTTCACTCATGTTCTTGCCGACCAGAAAGCGTCTTCTGTGTTGTGCATTTCTCAGCAACTTTGAAATACAAGATAGTCACTTTTAATTGATAAATCAAAGCGTGTAGTACCGAGTTGTAAAAATTGTCACAGGTGCCTCGTTGGTGAGAATACCACCATAACATCTGACCTAGTAAAATGGAATCGTATACTTAGACCAAATATGGCTTGTTGTTGAATGGCCTTTTCGTCAAGGGGAAACATAATTTGCGTGAAATGAATTTACACCAGAATGACAATATTTTGACGTGCTTTCACTAAACAAATCTCACTGACAGATCACTTCCGTCCCTGCACTTATGTAAAAACTTTTTATCCAATTTAATAGCACAATTTGTGACATTTGGCAATATATTACAGAAGTTGGGAATGAGAAGCTTCGATTGTCAGGGGGAACACTGTTTCTATAACTAACCCAGTATGTTAAACTAATACTCGAACTTCGCTCTGCTAGAGTTTGCTATTTTTTAAATTTTTTTTATTATGCATGCAAGTTAGCCTGCTATTTTAGTGGTAGTTTTTTTTCGACGTTTAAAATCGCCACCAATAATGAAACTAACCATGATGTCCAATTGTGGTTGTTTCTTTAATTGTCCATTTGTATGGCGTGATTACCACAACACCATCTTTAACAACCAAAATGTCACGCTACTGGTGAATGACTGATTGCGCAAACCAAGAGTTATTTTTAGTAAACTCGTATGTTAAGAATGGGCAAGATTTGTTTGCAAAGTTGTAATAAGTAGTCTCGAAATATCTTCAAACATTTCATTAAAATGCAGCACTTTTATCATAAGTTTTGTCCGAGAGAAAGTTTAAAGTCTCCTTCTGAAAAAGAAAAAAAGATGAAATCGAAGTCCGAACAAATTATAATAGCCAGATATTTTAAAGTATTTGGGTTACCATGTTACAGGCCAAATTATGCATACACCAGGTGGCATGGGTGAAGGGATATTGTTCATCGCAACAATTAAACCTACCTGAGTGAACAATCAATATCCCGTCACCCTCCCGTGTGTAGGTGATTTGAACAAAAAGACTGGGTGACCAAGCCATTTTCAAAAAAGCGTTGAACGTAACGTACAGTCAACGATAATAAGCTCGTACACCAGCGGTATCCTTACATAACCCCAACTCTAAGGGTGCGTTTCTCTAAGAAAATCCAAGATTGCATTCTAAAATCCAAAAACGGATT